TGTATAAGCTTTAACCCTTTAAGTGTCCCTATCATTTGGGTGATAGCACTGTTGTCATCTAGTATCCAGTGACCATCTACTTGCAGTATGTGGTATACTCATCACAGCCTCCAGTGTCACTCAGCCGAGCTCTGCCACGTAGTTTGCTCAAACTCCCTCTCTCTCTGTTGCAGGACGATTCGCCCCAACAGTGCGATGTATAAGCTTTAACCCTTTAAGTGTCCCTATCATTTGGGTGATAGCACTGTTGTCATCTACTATCCAGCGACCATCTACTTGCAGTATGTGGTATACTCATCACAGCCTCCAGCATCACTCAGCCGAGCTCTGCCACGTAGTTTGCTCAAACTCCCTCTCTCTCTGTTGCAGGACGATTCGCCCCAACAGTGCGGTACGCTCCATCTACAAAGCCTCAGGCTGCTCTGATAACCCCAGCCGCCATGTCAACTACCTGGAGCACGTGGTTGTGCGCATTACCATCACTCACCCCAGGAGGGGAGACCTGGCCATCTACTTGACCTCGCCCTCAGGAACCAGGTCCCAGCTTTTGGCCAACAGGTACAGTGATGGCCTTAGTGTAGAAAGGGACAGCTGCTCCTTATTCCTACCCTGGGAATCAACTGATCTCATTTGCTCATAAGTAGAGAATGTGAAGCCACCTAGAATCTGTAGGTGTGGAAAAGGATGGCATTTAATAGTTGGGTAATAAAAGGATGCTGCAGAAGGTCACTTGTACTATGTCCTAAAAAAGAATTACAGAGCGTTAACTCCCAAGGCCTCTGAGATGCCCCCCACCCCAACTCATTAAGTATGTGCTGACAATTGTTCCAGATTAACTGAGTTGTCTTGCCCAAGCACACGCTTTCCAAAGTTAAAGGAAATTCTACTTGTTAAAGCAGGTATTAGCAGACGTTGTCTGCAAAGTGCCAGATAGTAAACATTTTGAGCTTTGTGGGCCATGTCTCTAACCCAACTACCCAACTCTGCCTTTAGAGTGCAAAAGCCACCGTAAGCAATGTAAATGAATGGGCATGACTGTATTGCAATAAAACTTTACTTAGAGACAGGCAGTGGGCCACATTTGGCCTGAGGACTATAGTTTGCCAACTCCTGTTATTAAGGTTAGGTCTTTAGCCTTTATTACCCTAGATGACAACCAGTTTCTCCTGTTGGCCTCTTTCCTTCTCCCTACTTCTTCCCAAAACTTCACCAGCAGGTAAAGGCCATAATGTTCTAGCACAAGTTTCTTTTGCTTCATTGGCTTACTGAGTAGTTGAGAGCATGGTAGGAAGTTGTCACCAAGTGGACGGTCAAAGGTAGATGTCAGCGTTTTTGTACAGACCTCATTCCCATTCTGGTTCTAAAATACAAACCATAGTCAAAAGGCTAAAAGTTTCCTTAATTTGATTTTTTTCTCCCAGAGGAGCATTTAATGGGAGCAAAAACCTGATCATCAGTGGCATATATAGTCCAAATGAAAGTCAACCTTTTATGTAGACACAGCCACCCATCCACACACCAGGTGACCAGGGCAGTGATGATCTTTGTTAGAACATGAACAACAGGCCAGAGGAGTTGAGAGGCAGAGCTGGTCCAAGCCTGCAGAACCAAGAGGAAGACTGAACTTTCCAGCTGCTTTTAAAAATTCCCACACTTCATCTACTGTAGGATATTGAGAAAAAGAGAGAATAGCATTTCTAGATGATAGTGACTAAAAGTACAGAACCTGAAATCTTCAAGTGCATTTTATTTCTGTGTTTAGACTTGTATTCTTTCAAACCTAACATCGTCAGTTAGGGCCTGGGGAAACCTGAGCTTAATATTTATCAGAATAAGTACATGTGGGTGCAAGGAACATAAGGCTTCCCTGGCATCAGACTCCTGGGCACTTCTGCATGCCCTGCACCCTCCGCAGATGCCTCAGCTGCTGCCTGCCAGGTAACTGGTGTTACGTGCCTGAGGCGTCTTTCCAGCAAGCAAGGCCTTCGGCTGCACAGTTAGGTGATTAATGGAGGTCTCATCAGCTATCGTTACTGAATCCAGGGAAGGCCTTTTATTTCTTGCTGGGTTTTTTTGGTTTTTGTTTTTTTTCATTTCTCTAACATTATTCCTCTAGGATCAACTTGAAAGAATATCCTGGTGAAACACTGAAGTGCAAAGGCTCGTGTCACATATGTGTGCAGCTTGTCCCCCGAGCCCCCTCCCTTGTAGAAAAACAATCCCTCTGCTCTTGCTGTTTGCTGGGAAAACTCAGCTCTTCCTGCATATTTTGCTATTTATTGTTGGCTTCCCCTGAAATGACGTCAGTGAGGAAACTTGTGAGCAGAGGAGCTATGGATCGCATCACAGGCATTTGGTGGATTGCAGTGTTGCTGGCATCAGGCTCACAAACACTCTTCAGTAGCCAACATCTGCTTTGCTCTTTGCCAAGTGCTGAGCGCTAGAGTGCTGCGTGACTTGTGTCAGAAAAGATGCAGGCGTTTCCGACGCTCGGTGACCCATGCTTGCAGGGTTTATCTCAGCCTCCCCCATCAAGATTACCTGGGAATAAGGTTTGCACCCACAGTTTGTCTTTTTGGTCTGGAGCATTTTCTTAAAGTCGTACTCTTTAGTATTTTCTCCATCTCTGTCCTGATAAGTAGCCACCAAAAAGAGGCAGAAATTGTAGACTGGAGGGGGATGAAAGCACTGAGAGATGTAAAGGATGTTATGAATTCATTTGTCTATAGCTCCCCCAAAACAGTGCTCTGAGCAGCTGACCCTTTATATGTGAAACAGCTGCGCCCAGTCCCAAAACCACCAATGGCCACCTTCCAGGGCCTGGCTCCTCCGTTCTTGTGCTTGACACTAGTAGCGTCCCTCCTACCGAGGCAGCTAAAGACAGACGGTTTCTTTTGGCATTCTTTCCTTCTGGCATATTCTGAAGCTTTCATTTTATTAGAGGAAATCTCTCAAAACCTCTCTGTCTCTGACCTAGTGGCAAGGAGTCCTCGTGTCCTGTCACCTGGGCCCTGTTTCAAAGCACATTCCCAGGACAGGCTGAGAGCAGGCAACACAGAGAGGGTGGAGCAGGTGTGGAGGAAAGGCCTGCTTGGCTCCTGGAGCCCTTCGGGTCGGTCTGCGAGACAGTACTTTTCCTCCAGGAAAAGGTGAACAGGTCAGGTTTTAGAAGGAATTTGTGGGTCAGCAATTATTTATAAGAGCAATAAATAGTTTCCCTTGCAGACACAAGCTTTCTTTCAAAGAAGTCTAGGTTTCTAAGGAAGACCATGTAAAGCAAAGAACACAGTTAAAAAATAGGGATTTTGGAAAGTGCAAAAGGAAGTTTCCCTGGTAGAGGTGGCTCCCTGGTGGGGGATGAAGATGTGGCCCAGAGCGTCCCCGTTTCATCTGTCCACCCAGACTTAGAATTTCCCATACGCACCCTACTAGTGCTGCAGCCAACGCGGACAACTCCGGAGGCTTTCGCAGCAGACCCTCTGCTACAGGCTTTGCTCACACTGGCTGCTGTGAGAAAGGAGGGGACCAGCTCCCTTGCGGAATCTGCCATCTCCCCCTTGTGATGCAAAACAGCAGAGATGCATGCAGTGGGGATAAACCAGCAGGGAGGGCCGAGGTGACGGTGACCACCCCTGCCTTATTATCTGTGACTGTTCTCTCCTTTTCAGTATTGACGAAATATGCATCCTAGTTTGGGAACCTGCAAATATGATCACTGTTTATGGTTGGCTTTGCAGAACTCCTAATTTGCCTAGACGTTTCAGTGAGGAATTCGTTCCGATTTGCATATCCCTTCACCCAGCGGTTCTTGAGAGTCTGCTTTCTGCAAAGCGATGAACGCTTTGATTCAGTCTGCATGGGCCGTCTGGAGCCCCTCAGTGGCGCCCTGTCCCAGTCACCGGGCACTTGCCCGCACTCCTGTGGTGAACAGCTGCTGGAGGAGGAGCAGTGTCCCCAAGCATCTGCAGGTGCTCAGCGTGGGAGGCCACTCAGCAGGTCTGCATGGGCCGTCTGGAGCCCCTCAGTGGCGCCCTGTCCCAGTCACCGGGCACTTGCCCACACTCCTGTGGTGAACAGCTGCTGGAGGAGGAGCAGTGTCCCCAAGCATCTGCAGGTGCTCAGCGTGGGAGGCCACTCAGCATCGTTCAGGACTCTAGTCCAGCTCAAGCACTGCGCCCCAGTGGCCCAGCATGTGTGCTCCTGGGCAAGCCACGCTCATCATTCGTGGGGGGCGTGGGTCCTCAGAGCTGTCCTGAGATGGACAGACATCTAGTGCTTTCACTTGCCGTTGATCTTCCCTGGCCGCCCACCCTTCAGTCCTCCCCTTGGCCTACAGTACCTAACAAAAAGCGAACTGAATATTCCCAGCAGATGCTCTGCTGCTATGGGGAATGTGGCAACTGGGCCCGCGGGAGAAGCTAGGTGGCCTTGGTTCCTTGGAAAATGTTTTTAGACAAAGCAACTTGTTTTTAGACAAAGTAACTTGAGATGTAAGCCTTTATACTATGACACACTCCAATTCTGCCTCTGAGGGCTGGCTGGTTAGCTCAGTTGGTTAGAGAGTGGTGCTGATAACACCAAGGTCCGGGTTCCATCCCTGGACCCGCCAGTTGCCAAAAGAAGAAAAAACAAAAATCAAATTCTGCCTCTAAAAAT